CCACATACGTACGGACTCCGTAACGTACCGTCCTGCCGTACAACAGCGTTGTTACAAACCCTTTCTGCACACATGAGCAACCCCCGTAGATACGACGCACCTCTTACCCACCCAGTATGTACGTATGTATGTATGTATGTATGCCTTCACCTGTGCAGGAGACATACATACACACGTACACCCTACCGACATACATACGCACATACACACACCGACATAGATACATGCAGACGTACGCGCACTGCCTGACCGACCTGACTGACTTACCCGCCCCGTTCGGCCCCCGACAGCAACAGCCTCATCCAGCCGGATGTGTACGGCGCCACGTGAGTCAGCATATCGGTTACGGGGGCCTGCAGCCGTGTGGGGGTGGTTGACCTCCGTACGGCTCCCAGCAGCCTCCAGAGCTGCGCAGCTATGTCGGAGCCGTCCGTGGTGGGCATGGAGGAGTGCCCCCCGGGGGCGCGAAGGGTGACCTCCACCGTGGTGTAACCCTTTGAGGGGGGGGTAGTGGGGGGGGGTACTGGGGTGTACGTGTGTGTGTGGGGGGAGGGATTTCATCATCCTCATCCTCATCCTCATCACCACTCTCCCATTCCCCCCTCGCCCCTGAAAGGAAAACCACCGCCTCCTCCCCACCTTCCGACACCTCAGCGTAGGTGGCCTTCCGATTACTTCACAGTACTTTTACCCTCGTTTTCTTTTTGCCGCCTTTAGTTCTACACTTAACCACACCACCACGGTTTCCTTTGCGTTTTTGCTTTCTTTAAAAAAGCTTTTCTTTCATTTTTTCGGCTGCCCATGTAGCTTTTTCGCCTTCTGCCTGCTTTGGACTTTGGACTTGGCCGCAGCTCTAGTGAGCAACTCGTTTTGCAACCTCGCTAAGGCCACATCGCCGCCATGTTTTCATGGTGGCCACGAGTCATCAAGTCGTCACTTGTCAGTAGTAAATATCCATGCTGCATCATTTGTCTTCTCCGGAAGGATCCGTCTATTTCTGGTATCTGCCTCAATCGTCAGTGGCTCGCCTCTGCCCCCCCCTCCCCTCCCTCCCTCCCTCCCTCCCCACCTTCCCTCCCTCCCCTCCTTCCCTCCCTCCCCACCTTCTCTGCCGTCCCCACCATGGCCACTGCGCGACTGGTGAAGGGCCTCAGCCCGTCCTCCAATATCGCTCCGCCCTCGTCCACCACCACATCCAGCTCCACGCCCCGGGAGCGCAACAGAGACGCAATGGTGGCCGCGCCGTGGGAGCCGCTGACCTGTATGTATGTATGTTGTTACAGAGTGGTTAACTTCGCCAGCGGCCCCCTTTCCCGGGGCAGTCTCTGCTCTCCCCTGCTAGAGGGGCACCCTAATCCGTCACCCCATCCGACTTCAGAATGTATTCGTTGGGTTCGGCAACTCACCACCAGCATCCTACCAAATCTAGCTGATCAACGGCGCATCAACTTAGTTCCTGGTTAGCTCGCAAGTTGATTTTATCACGTCCTACATCGTCCATATGATGGGGGGTCACTTCCATTTCAACACTCCTCAAATACCCGAGGAGCCGGCAGGCGGATTTGAACCCGGGTCGGCCGGGAGCAGAAGTCAGGCCTTAACCTCTGCCAGCCGCCGGCCATGTATGTATGTATGTATGTATGTATGTATGTATGTATGTATGTATGTATGTATGTATGTATGTATGTATGTATGTATGTATGTATGTATGTATGTATGTATGTATGTATGTATGACGTTGATTACACTGTGGGCTGAAAAGCCGGGGGCCCAGGGCCGAAGCACAGCGCGGGGGGCGGGTGCATACGGCTGGTTAGTCTCATGCACTCCGCCCCCGGGTCAGGCCGCACGGGAAACGACGGCCGGCACGCAACAGCGCTTGTTTGGCGCTCCAACTAGACGGGATCTATGCCCGTTGGTCTCCTAACATAAACGAAGTCGCAACTGGGGGGCTCTTCCTGCCGACCGAACGAACCGAGCATCTCAGAGAGCTCGCTACCAGGACTTGGGCGACCGGGAGCCCGACGAGTCTTCCCGGGCTGGGGAGGTCACCAAGCTCAAAAATCCTCACGCAAAAAAGAGCGCAAAGAGCTCACACCACAAGACGCCAAACAGCCTCCTGAGACTACTACCCTCCTCCGCCTCTCCCTCCCTGGGCTAGTCCAGGGGAGATAGCCCCCGTCGAGGGGGTAACACCGCACAAGTCCGCGCCCTTCCACAGCACTGGGTCTAAATTGAAAAGTACTCAAACGGGAAGACCCTGCGGCAACGCAGGGCGATCAAGCCTCCGGAAACCACAGGGGGGGAGGGTAGCCAGCTCGGCGCCCCCCCAATACCGCTCTACCAAGACGGCTGGTTCCCAAGATCCTATGTATGTATGCATGGTGGTACGTACGCAGGTATAATGGGGAGAATGGGCGGGGGCCGGGTGTTGGGGTGTATGGGAATGGTTGCGAGTGTGGGTGTGGATGGAGAGAGGGAGGGTGAACGGGGGATGTGGTGTGAGACATGTGTATTTCAGCTGATTTGGACTGCGTGGGCGTTTGGGGAGAAGACGTGAACACATCACATCGCCGCCCGCACCTCCTCGTCGTGTCCGAATGCGAACATCAGAGTGCGCTCCGGCCGGAACACCGCCACATCCTCCTCCACGTCCTCCTCCCCCTCACCCCCCAGCAGCACACTGGCAGCCTGAAGCAGACCAGCCACACCGAACTTGATGTCCAGGGAACCCCGACCCCACACGTACCTGTACGGAGGGTTTTCGTACGCGGGCGGGTGTCGTACATGCGACTTAACGATGGGGTTAGGGATGGGGCAATGTGGGATACTCGTGTGGGTATTTGGTCGTGACGTGAAAATCGCCATCCCGTTCCACCCGCGTCTGTCGGTGGGAGTGGATAAATGTGTTGGCGGGTGGGGAGAAACCATATGTACGCAAGTATGTATGTATATATGTAGCAACATCAAGGAGGGAAAGCCGGTGGAGGAAGGGGGGGAGGAGGGGGAGGCGAGGAAAGAAGGGGGGAAAAACCCTAATCCCCATCACCACCATCACCAACGACAACAACACCGCTACCACCGCCGGCACTCACCCGTCTGCAATCTTCCCGGAGAAGGGCGGATGAGTCCACTCGCCCTCCGACCCAGGGGTCACGGGGACCACATCGTAGTGACTCACGAACAGTACGGCAGGCAGTTCAGGCCGGGATCCGGTCCACGTGATGAGCAGACTGAGCTCGTTCTCGCCCACCTGGGGGCCCAGCCAGCGGGTCGGTGGGTCAGTGGGCAAGTTGATGAGTGTATATACACACACACACACACATACACCTATGTCTTCGGCTCGTTCACGAAGACTTCCCCGCGCGAGTCGTCAGTCCGGATTGTCCGTCCAGGCCGTTCAAGCACGAGGCCAATATCATGATCGTCGCCAGTACCAGAATTCATTGGACCTTAACCCGTTGAGGAGTATACCCCCCGGTGTGCCCGGTCACACCGCCCTCCATTCCCCCAGCACCGCCTCATCTTCATCCCCCCCCCGGCAACCCCCAAACCCCCACACACCCCGCAACCCCCACCCGGCCCACATGTTCCACTTTCAGGCGCCTCCACACCCGGGGATAGGACCGCGCCAGGTAGGCCACCATGTCGCGAAACACCTGACAGCCGGGGGAAGGAGAGGGAACGGGACGGCAGGGGGAGCACGGGAAACAAAGGAAAAACACACAAGCACACACACACACGCACATGCACACGCACCGCGCAATCGCATCTGTTACGGTACTAATGGAAGTTTGGAGCGCCTAGCACAACACGAACCACCCGAAGTCTCCTCCGTAATGCAGGCCCCCCTCCCCCTCCTCCACCTCCTTAGAACTCTCTGGGGACAGTTTCGAACTTTGGACGCCCTCATTCCGGCAGTCAGGCAGTTCATGTTTCCTTCTAGTTTCCTCCTTGCAGCATGTACGAGTCCCCCTGCTGCCCGTACAGGACTCTGCTCCCCCTCAAGCCCCCGCCCCCGGAAGCCCCCACTGCCCCATCCCTCTCCCCCTTCACCCACCGGGGGGCCGGGGGGTGGAGATCCCACCCCCCGGGGGCATCTCCATCCACGGGACGTCCATGTTGCGCGCATTCATTTGTGCCGTACAACATCATGGTGCCGTACCTTTTGGTCATTAACATGGTCTTCGCTGGAGGCATTGCTGACGGTGGGGAAGGAGATAAGGCCCGCGAAGCGCTCCAGAGCTGCGGCCTCACTTAGAGGAGGGCCTGGGGCGGCCCGGAGTGGGGAGCCGGGGAAGCCGGGGAGTTGGAGGGGGTGGAGTGTGTGTGTGTGTGTTTGCGTGTATATGAGTGTATGTGTATCTGTTGCACATCGACCCGGGCCTGACACTGGCCAGGGGCACCTAACCGTATAATACCCCAACGGGGACGACCGCCGAAGCATTCTCCATCATTGGAGGGGCGTTAGGAGGGGTTAGAATCCTAACCGTTCTCCCTATATCAACGCAAGGCGCCGTCACCTGTTCGAATCCCCTAGCCAGCTACCTACACACCGGTTCAGATGCCAAGCAACCTCCGTTCCACCTTCAGAACGCGCACTCTACAGCTGCGAGATCTACCGAAATGCACTCACACCGGTGCCGATCGCCACTCTTATCCTTGCGAATCCTGCCGCCGCCGCCCGGGCTCCTTATCCAACCACCATTTGTTATTCAGCCTGGTCCAGGCCCTATGCAGAACTAATCGTCCGCCACTGCTCTGCGGCAGTCCTTCCACCCCAGCCGCCCCGGCGCACAGGAGGACCCCGGTGGCTCCAGCAGCATTCGACACCCCGATCTATGTATTCCACCCGGGTCGGGGGGGGGACCAGCGGTGGGACCCGAACCCACATCTTCCGATAAAGCTAGATGGCGTCTCTGGAACTCAATCTCCAGACTTGCCGATTATCTAGCCCGGTGCTATACCAACTTGAGCTGAGGTGTGTATGTCGTGTGTGTGTGTATGTCGTGTGTGTGTATGTCGTGTGTGTGTATGTCGTGTGTGTGTATGTCGTGTGTGTGTATGTCGTGTGTGTGTGTATGTCGTGTGTGTGTGTATGTCGTGTGTGTGTGTATGTCGTGTGTGTGTATGTCGTGTGTGTGTGTACGTCGTATGTTGTGTGAGGGCAGTTGGTTATCAGCAGTGTGACGCCGCGGGAGAACGAGGAGGACGCGGAGGAGAGGGCGCCGGAGGAGACCAAGAGGAGGAACAGCTATTATTGATCTACACATCGTGGGACAAAATAATGATGTAAAGAAAACTGAGACGCATTAATGTAAATCGTTGCTGTATTAAAATTCAAAGATGGTGAGAGAAGTTGCCGCGCGCGAAACCTCGTTTTGTATGTCGTTGTGTGTGAAGCTTCCTCCCGTCCGGGCACGGTCAGGGCGGGTGCTGGTGCTGCTGGGTTGCATCTTTTGGAGACGAACACGCGTGCCGAGTCTTATCATAAGCGGTCGGAGCAGCTGGGTGGAACTTTGAATGCATGCTAGGACATGCCCCCAGAACTTATCATGTATGGCAAAAAGGAAGTCAATCAAGCTCCGAAAGTTCACGGAAGCTACTTCCAACGTCCAAACATACCGCGCCTCGCACCATCAGCACTTCCTTTTTGCATAATTAATAACAGTCAGTTATGGTTATAGAGCATAGTGAGTATACTTGAGCCCCTCACATGTGTAAGGTTGTGAGACCTCCGATGTCGTCGGCGAGTCTCGGCGGAGAACGACTTGAGCGATTAGTGCGATGGCTAAGCCTAAAAGCCCCAGCAGCATAGTTTTCGCTAGGCTGGCCATGTCAATCGGAACCTCGGTGGAAAACAAAGTAAAACCTGTCTATGGACGAGGTTCCGGCTTACGAGGTATTGTTTGGCGTAGATTCATCTGAAGGAAGAAAGGAGGTCAGGAACGGCTAATTTGCCATGGTCCGGTATATCGTAATGGTGTTGCAAGATGCAGTACGTATGCTCAACCGCTGTCGTTACGGCTTTTCGCCATATCATCTCTATCTGCATAGCATAGGTAGCTGACATGGTGTGATGTGAGGTTATGTTTCCTCACATGCCGCCTAAACACCGTTGGGTGAAGGACGGATTGACCAAAACGAACATCAACTCCTCCTCTCGCTTATCCATTATTTATGCATCGACAAATACACATTGAACCAGCCATGTACTGAGGCTCGTGCGAACTGCCTCCACCAAGATAAGAGCCCTGCGCACCTAGTTCAACTGGTCAGGTTGAACCAGTGCCCAATCTGTTCAGGTTCCGATAGCCAGCTAGCCCTTATCCAGCACCACAGATTTGGCGGTTACTTCCTCTAATTTGGCATTCATGCCCTTCTTACACGCTGCCAGACACGCTCCCCCTGCCGACCTGCAACTCCTCTCCAAGCTCATGCAGCCCGATGAGTGATGAAGTTCTTACAAATGTTTCCATTACACCGGAAAGCGGGGAACAGGGCAGCAAGAAGACAGACGCGGCTTCCCGAGGTAAAGAAAATGGCGGGTTGTGTGTGTGGCGCGAAAGAGGGTTGCAAAGTCCCGGAGTGTAAAGTAAAGTGAGTCACCGGCATTACAGCCGCCTTCCCCCCCTCCCGCCCACCAAGCGGATGTCCTCGCCATCACTCGCCATCACTTTCCCCTCGCCTCCCTCCCAGATTGGTTCTCATATCCTCAACCCCAGCACCCCCCCCATCCACTGCATACCAAGCCACAACCAACTTCCAGTCTCAAAAGACCTGCAAGGGCCCCAGTGAGCTCCCAAAACCCTAGAACCACCTCTTTCTCCCCCCCCTTTCCGCCGCTGCCGCCGCCGCCGCTCACAAGTGGAACTTGAGCCGCTTGTCCTGTCGCATCTTGGTAAAGATTTCCAAAACCTGCCGTACACAATGCACAGCAAAGCACTCAGCCAAACGGCCTGTGCTCAGCTCAGGCACATGACCCCTACTGCATGCAAAGGTGGGACAAAATGGCAAAATACGGCAGTACGTGCCCGACCTCTCTGAGCGCGAGAGGATAAGTGGCGAATCCGCATCCTGTGTACGACTTCACCCCGGACGCCAACACATTTCCCCCGGTAACCTCACTCGGCACACGTACCCTGATCCATACACTGGGTGGTTAGCAAGACAGGGCAGGGCAGGGGAGGGCAAGACGGGGCCGGGCAGGGTATGTGCTACTGTGATCTCCCCCTTCCTCGAGGGGGAGGGGCCCTCTGCGCTGCGGGGGCTGCGGGGACTGCGGTTCCCGCCACCCGCCAACCCCCTCTGGCACCTCACCTGGTCCGGGTTGTTCACCGTGACGGGTCCCACCCTAACCGACTGGTAGTTGCCCCCGCTGCTGGGCCGTACATCCACGTCCACAGGCCCCCCCACCACCTCCACCACGCAGCGGATCATGGCCTCCCGGAACTCGTCCCCTCCGGAGCCCACTGCGGTGAACAGCCGCTGGGTGGGGTACTTGTTGACCTGGGGGAAGGGGGGGAAGGGGGGGCCAGTAAGGGAGGGGGCCAGGAGGGGGGTTGGAAAGGAGGCGAGAGGGAGGAGGACGACGCTCGCCTTTCTGCCCAGAAAAGGGTGGAGGGTGCTGCACGGGGTTAGACATGGGAATCCTGGAAACCCTGGAGAGTGGGGAGGGTGGATGTAAGCTGCCCACAAAGCGGCCAAAGGGCCCCCGTCCGCGTCTTCCGGGGGTCATTTTCTCTCGAGGGCCTGAGAGCCGGTACCTCCTCTCCAGTAGGAAGGAGGAAGGGAGCGGAGTATAGGGGAATGGAGCGGGATTTGAACAGGGGTTGGGCCCTAGGATTACCTTGGAGTCAACCCGCCTCCAGTCCGCCCAAATATCGTCGTTAGACGTGGCGCTGCCTTCCGCCGATGCCGTTGCTGCGGAAGCATTGACGGCCTGCGCCTGCGCTGCCTTCAGTGCCACTTCAGCCTGGGTGTCTCGAAGCACGTCGGCCTTGTCGCGGCCATTAAACGCTGCACGTACAGGGCAGTCAGAAGCAACGACCCATGTAGGCGATACATGGCATTTTGTGGTTGGAAACGGGTCCACAGCAGTACACATAGCGCCAGACTATTCGTCCAGGTGTCGTTTATTCTCACTGGGGACTTTGGGAGGTGCTTGTTGGCTCCGCTTGGGCTGTGGCTTGAATCCTTTGCGTAGGGTGCCGAAGCCCACCGGACCGCCCGAACAAGATAAATCGCGCCCGCTGCTTGACGGCCCATCTCCACTACCACTATGAGCAACGGTGTTCCTCAACCTAGACGAACGCGCGCTGCGCAATACACTTCCTACCTGCCCCTTACAGTTCAACCCACCAAACATTTTGAATTTGCTTAAATAAATAAAATATTTCGTTTCATAAGTGCTGCATATATAAGCTACAATTTGACAGCTAGAGGGCTGAAGCCATGAAAGGCAGCTAGCCAGGCATTGGTGAAGGCTCCGGAACCACGGGAAACGCTCTCCTCCAAACCTCGCAACCATTAGATTGTTTGTTTGTGAAACAGCGTATTACAAGTCATGCTTAAAGTAAGAATGTCCCATGCAATGGATTTCAGCGTATTAGGATTTCGTCAGGCTTGCAGTAGCGGTCCAGGACTACAACACTCTAAGAGGAGGCATCAGCACCAGCACCGTCGTTCCAGGCTTGTCGTACCTTCTAGCATCATCCCACAATGCCTCACAGCTTCGTCCAGTCCTCATGATTTGTCCGCTGCAGGCGGCCGGGGCCCTCAGCTCGTCTCCAGGTGTGGTGGTTGGTGGGGGGGGACCACATCACAACAAGAAGCAGCTTGCTGGGGTGGGACACAAAACAGACGCCTCTTCGATAACCGCGGCTAATGGACGCTAACCACGACGGCGAGTCCCGCTCTTTATGCCGGATGGATTCCACACCCCTCGCTTGTAACTTATGAGTTATAAGCCCCGCGGGTGGGGAATCCTTAGGGTTTGCGGGTGGTGCTTCAGAGCCGGGCGGTGCCGCTCAATCAGGTGCCTGTTGCGACAGCCAGTGGGAGTCTCCCCGCTATCACTGACTGGCACGGAACGGCGCGCCGTACATGCGACACACACACATACACACACATGCAGAAACACGAGTGCCGCTTTCCCAGATCCTCGTACGGATACACGCACGTACATACGTACAGACATACATGTAAACGCACGCACATACATGTAGCACACTGAGCCACGCGACACACCACATACATGTAGCACACTGAGCCACGCGACACACGTACAACCAATACACGCGTGCAGGCGTTCCCTGGTGGTGAGCGCCGTCAGCACCACCACTGCCATCGTCGCGGGCCTTATGGCGGCGGGTGGCGGCGTGGCGCTGGCCGCTAGCGTCGCCAGCGGCGGCGGTGGTGGCGGCGGAGGCGATCCTCGCGCACTGACGCGGTCCGGCATGGACAAGTTCCGTCGCAACGCGGTGGAGGCCTCCCTTGAAGATTTTGACCGTGTCGTACAGCTGGCGCCTCAGATGCGGCCGTGAGCTGGGTTTCGTGACACGATCGGAATGGGGTGGGGAGGGGAGTGGGCGGTAGGAGATCTGATTCCGCATCTGGATTCATTCAGTGGGGGGTAGGGCAGTGGGTCCCGAGGACGGGACGATGGCGGTGATGGAGAGGAGGTTGCAGTGGGCTCGCTCCGGACCTGGCTCCGAGTTGGGCCTTATGTACGTGTGTGTGTGTGCAGGGTTGGGCGCCCACCTTCATCAGGTTACACCTTCGGAGGGTAACGCAATTTAGGGTGTCACATACATACATACATACATACATACATACATACATACATACATACATACATACATACATACATACATACATACATACATACATACATACATACATACAAGTTTTTTGCACTAACGAAGGGTTGACCTGAGAACCATCTACCAGCAGCAGCAGCCGCAGGGTGTGCTACTCACCAACGTCACAAGGGATATGCACTCCTCTCCAGATACACAGCACCCGCCGTACACCCCCCGGAGGATGCTCCCTGCCTGCTCCGTACCTCCACACCCAGGTACACGGTACTGCAGGAATCTATCCCCCCAACCACAACTCCTCACCCCCCCGCCCTCCCTGGCGCAGAGGAGTCCATATGGACGTTCCTTTGTGAGGCCCAGCTGCTGGGTCCTGATCAGGCACGGAAGCAGTTCCTGGAGGTACGAGGTGGTGGTGGTGACGGGGTGTGGGGTTGGGGGGGGGAAGACGAACCACGAACGAGTGAAGCTGCTGCCAAGGAAAGAGTGTTCAAGGACCAGAACTGACCAGTAGGCGTTCTTGAAGGCGGCGACCTCGGGATGATATAATGGAGACGACCGCGGAAACCTACCTACCTAGCCGCCAAGACTAAAATAGAGCGCAGGAAAGGAGTAAAACGAAGCCGTAAAGAAGTAAAGGTAGGTGTAGAGGCGGCGAAAACGTTGGGATGGGGGGTTGGGGGGGCTAAGGAGGTTATGAAATGCGTTGGCGCTAGTAATGCTGACCCTCTAGGTCCGTATCCCCCCCCCGGTGAATGTTGGCCCCTCTCGCGGTCGGCGGCGGGGCTCCGCATCTGCATATGGGTTGCAGGCAGGGGGGTAAGGAGGGCAGGGGGGTAGGGCAAGGGGGGCCCCTGTCTGCTGAACCACTCTGACGGGCCCCGACCCCTTCCCTCCCTCCCGGCCCCGTTCGGCGCCGCTTCCTTTCCTTCTTCGCTGTGTGGCAGGTTGGTAGGGACCCACGACCCGTCATGCGGACCGCGTACGAATGCTTCCGTACCGGGGAGCTGCCGGACAAGGTACGGCAAGCAAGAGCATCACCATTGACGCATGTAGCTTGGCTATGTCGACATGTGGGCTCAGGAGTACCGCGTTCAAGACCTTAATGTACATATTGAAGTATGGAATATCGGTAAAAGAAGTATAGAGGTATAGAGCTCCTCTCGTTGAGGACGTCCTGGGAAAAGCCGATCCGGATTAATTGCATAAATCCTCTTTCCCTTTGTAGATTATGGCCCAAGTAACGGATAACGGCGGTCACGACACGTTTTACGGCCGATTGGTGAGTAAAACTGCCTTAACTACTTGGTAATGTTCTATAACCTCCACTGTACGGAACCACAGTCGCCATTACCTCACGAATCCACCTTCTGGGGATTCTCTTAAGACTAACTCTACTATACTGCTTAGCAACTGTAGCTACTACAACTACAACAACCGCTACTGAGGTCTTCCTGTCAAAATCCTGCTCCGAAACCGATGTGCAGTACGTGGGACTCTGGCACGAGGCACATGGCAACGCGACGGAGGCAGAAAAGGCCATTACGGCTGCCGTACAGACGCCGTACGCCCGGCTTTCCGGCGATTACATGGCCAGCCTGGCTAGGGTGCACTGCCAGAGGCGCGGCTGGGCGGCGGCTTAGAGGGCGGCGGCTTAGAGGGCGGCGGCTTAGAGGACCGAGGGGATGGAGGAGAAGGGACAGCTCTGTGTATGTGTGTGTGTGTGTGCGTGTGTGTTTGAAGGTTACAAGTATCTGACCGGGCCGGACACTGGCCAGGGGCTGCTGCCCAGCCTCAACGGAAAGACCGCCTAAGCTCTCTCCCTAAGCGGACGGGAGCGGGGCGTTAGGGCCCTCTGTCCCCTCCTAAGCAGCTGAGAGCCGAGAGAAAGAGTGTGTGTCCGTGTGTGTGTCTGTCGAGCTAACGAACCACGGGCCGCACAGCTCCTGGCCATCCACACGGGGCGACGCTTCCAGAATCCGTAATACCCACTGTGATTTGAGATCCGCATCCCGCGATGTGGCCTCACGCGCCAAGCTACCACCGGTTACGGTTTATTATTCAGGTGTTTGAGGCAGAGGCCTGAGGGCACCGTCCTTACTAGCGTTTTAGCATTTGATAGGCTCAATGATGGCGGGCAGGAGGGGTACGATACGGCAATACGGCAATTTTTAATTCGCACACACGCACACGCACATATACTCTTGCTGTGGCTATGGCGCTCTAGTAGGTTTCTTGGAGAGTTATGAAGGTTTATTGGATTTTTGCGGCGAGAGGCTTCCATTACGCGGCTTCAATTGTACGAGGCTTTGAAAAGGACTTTTGTCGTCGAAATAATATGTGTACGATGAGTTCCGGCGAGGTGAGTTCGCCGCGCGCCAATGATTCGCGCAGCTTCATTACGATGATCCAGATTTCAGCCGGATCTCGTAGTCCAAATCTCGTCGGCGGCGCGAGAGTACGTATGACAGACCCCTGAAGCCCGGACCTCTGAAGTATATATCACTCGCGTTCGTACGGAGAATGACGGTGCCCCTATATATCACGACTACACCTGCACGTTTATAATTCGCAGCCCAAAAGTTTTTCACGGCCTGCAGAAGCATTGTCCGACGATTGCACACCAGCGCACGATTCGTGTCCGCGTTGTAGGATATCGGACTCACCTGCTCACGACACGGAGAATCATTTTTTAGAGTGTTCATTGTCTAGTTTGATCACTGCTTTATCATGATGCCAGATCCTTCCCATCAAGCTCCTTAACAGCCGCAGGAGGGCCCCCACCATCTCCCAGCCACCCGTGTCGCCCCCACCTGCACACATGCCATCCCAGCACATGCCCGCTCTTCACCGCCTGCGGTTCTCGTGAAACAGCGACTTCAGGACATTTGGATTCTTGCTTCACACTGTTTTGACTGGAGTCCAGTCCCAGTCATGCGCTCTCTATGCATTAACCAAACTCTATTCAACACCAGCACAGCACCCTGAGACACTCTCGCTAGGCGGAAACCGCGTTCAAAGCGCTCAGGGAAGGCCATACTTCCCCCCCACACACGCCCTCCTGGCCCTGACTGCTTTAGCCGCATTAATCTATATATGTCGAATACGTATGAAGTCACACATATATATGTGCTTTAGCCGCATTAATCTATACATGTGTGTGTTGAACACGCATATGTTTGTATGTGTCTGTGAGTGCCACGTCTCCAGAGCCCGCTGGCCTCAAGGGCTATACGCCACCATCACCCCCTCCCCTCCTCCCCCTTCGGGGTGCCGCAGCACGTGCCCTTCTGGACACCGGCAGCACCACCACCGCCTGGATCCCGACCACGTACCACCCCAATATCCAACGTCCTTTACTCAGACAGCGGGAGCCCCACCAGACAAACACGGCGGCGAGGGCCGCTTCTTTAAGTGAACCCCTCTTTAAAAGGAGTACTGCGGTCATAGTCGTGTTCAGACACGCTCTCTATTCCCATTTCCTCCCCCAGCCCCATCTCACGACGGCGGGTTTGGGCGGGGTGGGTGGGGTGCTATGAAAAGAAACACTGTGATGACGCTTTTGCTGCTGAAGCTGCTCCTTTGCTGGTGCTTGTGCGGTGATTGGTGATGTTATAGGGGTCGGCTGCTGGGGAAGCGGCGCCAGCCAGCTCCTCCATTTCCATCCTAACCCCCTTCCCCCCACACACACCCCTCTTAATAGACACAGCCCCAACCAAGGAGCTGGCTTAGGCCCCTCCGCCCCCTTCTCCTCCCCCTGGCCCCCAACCACCACCACAACCACCACCGAGCGCCTAACCCCCCACACCAATGAAAAAGGCGTCAAGACATACATACATACATATATACACACACAACTCAATACCGTCATCTATCCAAGTCTCATTCGAGCCGCTCTGATCCGCCCTTCACCCCCCCAACCCCCAGCTCCCCCGGCAGCGCGTCATGGACCCCTCGAATGGCCAGCGGCAGTGCGGCCCCGTAGTACTGGGAGAACACGTTGAGACAGTGAGACCGGATCTGGGGGCCGGCGAGGCGGCGAGGGGGTTAGGGCCCCGGGGTCGGAGTCGGAGTCGGGGTCGGGGGAGGAGAGGGGTCGGCGGGCGGATGGCGGTGGGAGGGACGGGGGAGGAGATGGGGAGGCGGGAGGGGGGTTGGGAAAAGGTCCCTCGGTACTTACCAGAGGGTTAGGCTGCCCTCCGGCCCGCAACCACACGGGCGCCCGGGTGGGGTGTTTCGTGACCTTCCGCTCCTTCCAACACCACCTGCCCTACCTCCACGGTCTGCGATCTCAGCTCCCCCCTCCCCACCTTCCACCAGCGATTGACCTGCACTGCTACTCGCTTCCCGGCCCCTTCGGTCTCCCATACCCAGCACACCACACACACGCAGATACACCCGGAGGCTGCCGTACCTCGCCGTGCTTGGTTCCGGAGCTGATGCCCTTGACCTTGAATAGGCCCTTACCCAGATCCTTGACGTGGTACGGCAACACGTAGGCGGGCGGGCGGCCGATGGACGAGCCAACCAGCAGCGCCATGGCCAGGTCCTCGCAGTTGTGCGCCTCATCCACGTGGCGCCGTATTTCGTAATCCATGTGATTCGTGTAGTACTCTAGGTAATCTGGGGGGGGAGGGGTGCAGGGGGTGAGGGTCACACCTAAACACGCCGGTACACGCATGCAAACTGCCGGCCACACACAGCACACACATACACACACACACACAATTCTTGATGATGGTGATGATGCGTCGCCAAGGTAGCTATTTCCCTCACTACACTGCACAGGTCAGCAAGCCTTCCGCTTTGACGGGAAGGGCTGTATGTGCCCCCTCGAATTTTCAAGTCGCTATCCCAAGTTGGAAAAGCACTTAATCATCGCCGTACTAAGCCAAAATTAGATTTTGTGTAGTACGGAAAATGAGTTTTCACAAGGCCCCTCTGAAATTCTCTCAGCTCTAAACCAGCGCCCCGGAAGCAGACTCACAGCCTTCAACACGAAACACGCTGTAGTAGCACGAACCTCTGCTCTGTCCGCTAGCTCAGGACAGGAAAACACGCATACACACACGTACGCTAGCACACATACATACATACACACACGTGTGCTAGCACACATACATACATACATACACACACGGGGACCCTACCTCTGTGCAGCATGGCCGCCTTAGTCAGCACCAAGCTGTACTTCCGGTGCCAGTACAGCGTGCCAAAACCTTGGAGGTAGCGATAGCTGTAGGTCGGGGGGGGAGGAGGGGGGAAAGGGGGGGAAAGGCGTTGAGGGGAAAGAAAGGGGTTACAGAAGGGTTGTGAGTATGTATGTATGTATGTATGTATGTATGTGTGTATTACGTCCTGTCCTGGTCGTCCCACGACCTTCCGTGCCCAGTCCGCCAGTCACCTCCCCCACGCACCACCCTCATGCCCCATTCCACCCCTCTTCCCCCCCCCAGCACCGCCCACCACCTGGCTCCTGTGTGTTTTAGGACTCTTTCACTCGCAGCTACCTCCTCTCCCATCTCCCCCTTTCCCCCCCCCCACAACTAGCACGCACTTGCACCTCTGGTCCAGCACGTGCAGCCGCGGATAGAACCCCGCCATGTTGTACGGGTCACGGCGCCAAACCTGAAATGAAACATGCTCAATTAGCACAACAAGATAACACACTCGCACACCCAGAGCAGTATGAGGATCAACAACACAGCAGCGTCCCGGGCAGCAGTCGCAGCAGCAGCAGCAGTCGCAGAGGCGCTTGCTAAGGCCGATAGCAAACGGGTACAGCAGCAGCTGCAGCGGCAGAAGGCGCTGTAGGCAAAGGGGTTGGGAGTGGGGACCCCCTCCAACTGCCAGAATAACAAGCTTTCCAGGGATCTATAGCCCCATGATGTGATGACGTGATGATGTGATGCGTCACACACTCACCGCGAACAGCTCCTCAAGCACCTCACATGGTGCCACGATGTCATCATCCAAGCTGAGTACGGCTTCCGTACGGAGACCTGTAAAGGCCGTACATGATGAGCACGCGTCAACCACCACCTTCACCACCGCCAGCTCCTCCCATCCCACTTCCGGACACATCACGCACAGCATCAAGCGAAGTACCCTTCCTGACAGTTAACACATCGCCCCTTCATCGCCCCTTCATCGCCCCTTCATCACCCCTTCATCGCCCCTTCATCACACCGCATTGCCACATTGCGAGAGCGTCAGTCGAGCGCCCCACCCACCTTCCAGCGGCCAGAAGCGGTTGTTAAGGGAGGAGTTGCTCACTATGTCGTACCGCACCTCCTTGATGTCCGAGTAGTACCCGGAGGCCTCAGCGCGGTTGGGGGGCAAACCGTCCTCACACCACACCTGTATACATACATACATAAATACATACATAAACACATACATAAATACTTACGCACATAGTCACACAGACACACGCAGCCAAGGCAGGAAGGGGGCCCAGGCAGGGCGTGGGGGGAAGGACGGGGTGAGGAGACGACCGGGGGTGGGTGGGTTCCGTGGACAGCTGAGCAGCCCGGGGGGACTGTGAGGGGGGCACCGGGGCTGAGGCGAGAAGCACACTGTGTGGCGGCGACGCGGGTAACATAAACATGGCTTAATGTGTTTTCTTGTCATTTAACCTGGGTTGGTTTTGGGGGGGAGATCCTTTTGAGACTGTTTACGAGAAAACTCCGGGCGCAATGGCAATCCGGCCCCGCTAGCTCTCCTTGACCCTTCTACCGTTCCCGTCCCGTCCCCTCCCTCCCTCCCAACCTCCCCTCCCTCCCCGTCCCCTGTCCTGTCCAGCGGCCGCCTCCCTACCACGCGGATTGCATCAATGGCTCTGCATTGCGCGTAGTGGGCTACCGCTCGCTGCAGCAGCTGCGGCCGCTTGTAGGAGTTCAGGATGAGGGTGTAGCGGTCCGGGAACTCGGCTGCCGGGGGAGGGGGCGCAGGGGGAGGCAGGGGGCAAGGGAAGGGGTAGGGATCCGGGTGGGGGGTTCGGATGATCAGCCGCTCGCTGGCGGGTGCAAATGAACGGCCACGGGAGGAATACGTACACAGGGGAGACGGGTAGGGAGCATCTGTGGGTATTGCCGGGATTCCGTGGCGACTGAGACTCGCACTGAAGGGGCGAGGGCGGTGATGGGGCGCGATGATCACCTGGCGGGCCGTGGTACCGCGGCGGGGCAGTGGGCTTGGCAGGCCAGTGGTACTCCGCCATCGTGCATTGCGGTGGAACAACGTTCCAATCGCGAATAATCATAGGCACGCATGTTGAAACAACCACTAGCACTCCAACTGTCAGCAGTGCGATGAGGTATGACCTTCTGGAGAGCAGACTGCGCGGCTCGCAAGATCCTGGCATAAAGCTGTTATTAAAATCAATGGATGTGTCATCAGTTTTCTTTGGGTCTTTTCGTCGTGTCTTAGGTGAGAGCATGTTTTGAATTACTGTGGAACTCGAGAACAGTAGACATCGCGGTTGATTAACTATTCGTTCAATTTTTGATAAATGTACACAACGAGCGTTACACGTCAAGGATTCCGGAAGATGAAAATGGCAAGTGCGCCAAAACAAAGTCGGACAGACGCGTTGTGCCGATGCGCTCCAAAAGAACTGCAAGAGAAATGTGCCATAGATGGTATTTCCACTTGAGGTTTACATGCTTTGATATTGTTTTGCAATGGTCCGATGGTCTGATCCTGCGGCGACCCGCGGTACGGCTCGTGTCGTGGCCTTTCCGCTTGCAGCTTTGCACGGCGTCTGCTGGCGGGTTCATAGACGAAAGTTACGTCGATTGGTATCGGGCTCGGATACAGGGTCAAGCCATAGCATTCAATATCAGAACGGTATCTATCTACGCCGTCCTCCGTCCTGCCGGCGAATCCGGTCAAGTTGCTCTGTGTTAAGTCCCTCCCCCAGGCAGATACAATGAAACTGCCAATAAACCTTGAGGAACGTCTTAAGGAAAAAATATACGGTCTACATGTAATTGAAACCCAGGATAGTAGTCTCCGTCTCCCGCACCGTGTCGGCTCTCGTAACTTCGCAGCACGCTGCCGACAGCTACTTCTCCAATCTGGCCGTGGCGCATGCTATCCTATCCCTGACAGTACGTCGCTGGTGAGCCCTAACTTGGACACCGATTGCAAGGACAGGGCGGACAAAGGATGAACTTCTGTAGGCTTCAGTCAGCGCGAAATGTGGAGGCGGAATACCCCATCATTTGGGCTTGTTGCCGTTGGGCTACATCGCCGAGGTATACTGGCCTAGGCAACTCTGTCTATCCGTCTTCATGGCACCAACGCCTTCACATTTCAACCGGTATTCCAGGTCCATCAGGGCCTCTAACGATATCTCAAGTTCCCCGGTTGTTTTGGACTAAAGCTATTGCCGATCCGTAGGCATGTGAACGCCTTCGTGCCACCGGCTGACGTTCAACGGAGGGCTGCAGAGCGGTCACGATGCGGCGGAGGGTCAGGCCCAGGATACGGATGGGAAAGAGTAGGATAGAAGTGTAGACCCCCAGGATAAGAATGGGGCCCAGGATGGCGGCATGTTTGGAGGGGTCGACGCCAACCCGCCAAGGATGAGGAGGATGGCGGAGGGGGATGATGCAGCCACCAGGATGCGCTCGAAAGTATGAAAAGAGAGTGTGGGGGGCGGGCCGTAGAATGTATCCAACCGACAGGATGCGTGGCCAATCCCCCCAGGATGCGAGGATGGGGCACCGCTCTGCACTTCGTCTGGGAATGTCACGCCCTTGTTAGGCCCCGTTGAGGGGCCCCAGGCCGAGGTCATTGACCTTTAAGGATGAAGGCGGATACCCCAACACATATTCAGTACCGCCATTGTTGAGATCTCATTTGAGAGTTCGGGATTGCCATGCAGCAGGATTTGACCAGTGTGACACAATTAGGCCACGCTTTAGGCCTTTTCTTCTTCCGTCATGTTTTCCGTATGCTTCGGGAGCAAGTAGTTGCGATTGCTGTGCGTTGACAACTTAGAGGGCCTATGGTATTGCATCGAGACAACACGCAGCAGAGGGGTCAGGACCTTCTAATAACGTAACGCATTATACGGTTATCCATGAGTTAACGTAGAACATAGTCCACAATGACTAGGCGCACTCAAGGGACGTATTCATATTACATGGGCTGTACTTACATCTGACTCTCTAATACAACCATAACACACATGTAACCTTGTAATAGTGACAACAAATATTCCGATATCATATGAACGGAAAGCACTAATAGTTTGCCTTGCCAGCAGCATGGATAGGGCCCCCAATCTCGCCGTACGCCAAAAATTTAGCAGATGTAATAGGGCAATTGCTCAAGCTGTGTGTGTTCGACCGGGGACCGTCGCACAACTAGCAAAATGGCCACCATGATGATGCGCTCTCGCGTTGCCGCCGGTGTGCGCCCTTCGCGCGCAACCGCCGTGCGGGTGTCCGCGTCGACCCGCCCGATGTGGTACCCCGGCGCCACCGCGCCTAAGCACCTGGATGGCACCATGCTGGGCGACTATGGGTGAGCAGTAGGCCCAACGAGCACGTTCACTTTGCAAATTGACCTTTGAAAAATCAGCAATCAGCAGATTTTATCGATCATACCACCCAGTCAGCTCCTTTAAATAGGCAATTAGGAAGACAATTTATCCTAACTAAAGCTTTTATGGCCTGAATCCCGCAGCTTCGACCCACTCCGCCTGGGCACCAACCCCGAGCAGCTGAAGTGGTTCCGCGAGGCGGAGCTGACCAATGGCCGCTGGGCAATGGCTGCCGTTGCTGGTAGGTTGTGCGGGCTTGCGTCATTTTGGCTATGTCTTTGGTTACGCGCTTACCTCCGACGAGTTTGCTTGCAGGCATCCTGTTCACTGACCTGGTGGGCCTGCCGAAGTTCTGGCTGGCTGGTGCCGAGGTGCGTATCTCAACTTCTGTAGGGATTTTAACTATGAGGAGATTCACTGTTGGCGGATGCTGGGCGCAGCCCTTGCAGGCTTATTCTATTACTTAAAGCTATTTCTCCCTTCGCCTGGGGTTCATTCCTGAACAATATATAGCTGATTTCTTGCTGTAATACCGGCCCGTGGCTTTTGGTTGGAGGATTACTATGTCCGCTTCCTCGCAAAGAGCAGCAAGAGGATTATTGCCACTTTTAATATTGGTAGTTCTATGTGGCCTTAAAATCAGAAATCATTTTTGCTGCGCCCTGGCTATATGACTAACTACGGTTTGCGCTGGAATCTTTCGACCTCGCAGAAGTATGCTCTGGACACCCCCACCCTGGCTCTGATCGAGGTGGCTGTCTTCGCCGTTCTGGAGGGCAAGCGCTACGACATCTACAAGAAGACCGGCGAGGTGGGATCTGGGTCGTGTGGTTGGGGGTAAGGGGTCAAGCCTTTTCAACAGGACGTCCACCTCAGCCCGTTCACCTTTTCGTTTTGCCCGCAAACCTACTGTATCGGAATGGCGCAAGCCTCAACTCCTCCCTCTATTCCCAAAACGAGAATTCCCCCCTTGACTGCTGCAGACTGGTTTCCTGTCGTTCGCTCCCTTCGACCCGCTCGGCATGAAGAGCGAGGAGATGAAGCTAAAGGAGCTCAAGAACGGCCGCCTGGTAAGATATCAGTGGTAATGTTACTGTCCTTCTTGACACGACGTACAGTTTCTGGGCAATCCCAGATTGTAACGATCTGCCTTTCCTCAACCTGCAGGCCATGCTTGCCTTCGTGGGCTTCTGCTCTCAGGCGGCCGTCCGCGGCAAGGGCCCTATTGAGTGCCTGACGGACCACATCGCTGACCCCGGCCACGTCAACAGTGAGTGGAAAAGGGAAAAGGCTTTTAGCAGGTGCAACCCTTCATGATGGCAACGAACGGCTAGAACAACACGAAACGCACCTATCGTTGCGGCTATGTACCTCCTGCACGTCATTTACATGGATATCGCGTCTAATCGAGCGCTAAGCTACAAAGTATGAATACTGATGCCTTAACTACGCCCCGTGAACTCCTCCAACAGTTTACACCTCGTCGGTGGGTCCGGAGACTGCCGTGACCGTGGCCGTGCTGTGCGTGCTGCCCATTATTATTGAGGCCACCAAGACCCTGAACCCGGGCAAGGAGGCTGTGCCGTACTTCCCATGGAACGAGCCCTGGAACAAGGTCTAAGCGATGGCCTTGCCTGGCGCTGGGTTGGAGTCACCATCGGGAGCTATGTGCATTTGTGTGCCGCCAACCGGCCGTGCTGTCGTCTTGGCGTCAGCCTCGATCGTTTTACGTGGCTGTCAGTAATCGCGGGTCCCTGTTGACGGATTTGTCGGCTTGAGACCGGAATGAGGGCTGTTTTGGGATTTTGGGATGCCTTGCGAGCTAGCTATACACGGCGATAGCGCGTGAGACACGCAGGCTTGACGGAGGCTCTCTGTGCCCTGTTGGTCCTGGACACAAATCTTGTTGCAGGGTGGTATGTTGGGTAGTATGCACATTGGGGGTGGTTCGTGGCGGGCATCAACGATGTGCGCTCGACATCCGGCCAAGTTTTGCTGTGTGGAGCTGTTTGTGGATGCATAGCACATCGGGGTGTTGCTATCTTCCACACATGTGTAAGCTGAAAGGAACATATACCGCTTGCAAGCCCAAGTTACAGTGCTGTTCTATCCGAAACATCCGTGCTGCTTGAATCAAAATCATTTGGACCTGGATAAAGAATAAGGGCTTCATTTGTGAACCCACAACATCTGGCCTGCCCGTTGTCTCCACCCCCGAAACACCAGATTTCAGACCTCCTATACATTACAAGAGGTTTTCCGTTGGATGCTGGTGGTGGGTGCGGAACCTGAGCGATCCACTGAGAAGTTGGCTAGGGTGGCTAAATGAGGGTTCCCGAAGTACCGGGGAAGTCAGGATTTCGCCGGGTATCGGTCACGGGTGAAGATATGCCCCCCTGTCCCCCACATGATACTAGTTAATGCGACCAATTACCGCGAATAGGAATTAAGCACTGATCTCGCACTTATAGGATTGGCTGGGACTGCTTTTATAGAGTGCACTGGATTGCACAATCCTAAACCACTCTTAGACAACGTATTACCAGTCACACGACGGAAGCTCGTAGACCTGGCCTCCCGACAACTCAGGAATTATGACCGCCGAAACGCGCGGCAATTTGGGTTGCATTACACGAAGGCCCGGGATCGGTTGTAGATGTCCGCTCGGCAAATGGGGCACCGATCCACTCTCTCGGCGCACATGCGACAAATGATGTGACCTGCGGGAAAACCATTCCCCGCGAAAGGACAAACCGCTGTCGTGTCGTTCACTACCTCGATATTCATGGTATTGACGGTTTGGTATTCACGCCGCCGTGTCAAGGCCACCTAAGCGCCGTCAATCTGAGCTCAGCATAATCGCTAAAGCTGCACGCACAGTCGCCCTCCTGTCATCAGCCCCTCACCGCAGTTAAGGAACGTGTCGCGCCCCGCCGTCAAACACACCGCGCACGCAGCTGCTTCCACAGCCTCCGACCGCGCCGCCGCCACTCGCGCCGCCACAATCGCGTGCCGTACTCGCGGCAGCGCGGCCTCCGACATCGCCGCCAGCGCTTCCAACGTATCTAACGACTGTGCCGCCAGGGCATCCTCCTTTGGCCGCCCCATGAAACGGCCGGGGGATATTAGTTATCACAGCAGGTCGGCCAGCCCATCGGTATGTACGTCTGTATGTATATCCTAGCTAAAAATGTGGCTAAGCCAGGTTAGTCGTCAGGCGGGATCTGGATTTCCTGAACCATCGCTCTGAACCATCACATATAGCCCCGGAACCTGATGGAACCCACGGCCTCGCCTCCTGATTCCCAACCCATATTCAGGATCTTCGCCCAGTGCCCGAATCCATACCCAGCGGCCCCCCGACCCCAGCCCCGGCCATAAACCCCCCACCCACCTGACCACACATGCACTGAATCCTTCGTTGCAGCTGAGCCGTCAGCTGGGCCCCCATCTCCACCTCACCCGCCAGCCGGGCCACATCCGCCGCTGCAGCCGCCGCAGCCGCCTCCGTCCCCTCGCAGCGCCGCTGCAGCGCCCCCATCTCGCCGGCTGCCTGGGTAAGCACAGGCGAACATTATGTATCTAACTTGTGGCTCTGAGGCTCTTGGGCCTCTGGCTCGTGTGGGCTCGCAAATGCAACCGAGGTGTATCACGCACACACCCACACCCACATGCATATGGAGCAACAAGCAGGGAGGCCGCGTACATCTAAGAAGTAAATTGAAACTCTTGCGGACGCCATCGCTATGCATGACGGTGTTAACACCAGGGCACGGCCGGAGGATGCACCGAAGGTTGGAAACGAGCGAGTGTGGAACCTGAACGCCTGGCGAAGATGCTGGAACAAATGTGATCCCACCGCAAACCTATCGTTCTTTTTGGTCGTTAGTATCCCCTTATCACTTGCTTTGTCTGAAGTGCGAGGTCGGATGCTGCTTATAGGGGATCTGGCAGCCCTTGAGCCCTCGGCTCGTATGGGGCGGTTTGCTGGTACTGGGTAGTACACAACCCCACGACCATGTAAAACACGCACACATATATATATATATATATATATGTAAGTATGCAATATATGGTAAAGTCGCGTTCACGCATCGACAGACGTACAGACGGATGGCCACACTGACACCTACACACGGCCGCGCCCCACCTCCAGCAGCTTGCCGCCCAGGGACTCCACTTCCGACTGCGGGAGATACAAGTGCGGGAGGGCAGGCAAGCCCCATGAGGGAGAATGCGTTACCATCGGAACCCGGTCTCTCCCTTTCCTCCCCGTGTGCCCCAGTAATACCCGGCTATAGGCACCCCGGGGGCGGGGGGGAGCCGAGGAGAGGTAACAGTGTGTCGGACCTGTTAAAAAAGACAGGACAGACACACTCTTGCATGCAAGAGGACTTTAAGACACTTTTAGCCCGCCTCCGCTCCTCAGCTCCTCTCCAAAGCTAAAGATGAAAGCGGGGTTAGGGTTCGCAGGTTTAGGACCAGTGGATTGCGCTCAGTGCTGCTGTGTCAGAGTCAACAGCAACACACGGCAACGCCAATCGTGTACCCCATGTGAAGGAACATGTCGCGCCACCACATGACACCACCTGCAGCGCACAGCCCCGGTCGGTCGCCTCCGCCAGCCGCGCTTCAAGCTCCGAAATCCGTGCCGCCAACTCAGCTCTCGTCCCCACCACCTCCGTCAGCTGGGTCCGGAGCGCCGAAGCCGCGAGACCGCTGCGGCTCAGCTCGCGTTGCAGCTCCGACACCGCCTCCCGCTTCGCTGCTAGCTCCGCACCGCCCTCCGCCACGGCCGCCCCCAGCGCCGCCGCCTCAGCCCGCGACTCGGCCAACTGGCGGTTCAGATCCACCTGGGTACGACGACGGTACGGGCAATATGTCAATGCACCAGAACGTCAATGCCGCTTGGGGCCTGCCATACGGCACTGTCAAGAATATCCTGATTGATCGCTATGACGCACCAGCTGCTCCCGCGCCTCTGTCGCGGCGCGTCGCTGCCGCTCTGCCGCCGCTTCCGCCGCCTCCGCCCGCGCCCGCGCCTCCGTCACGGACCGCTCCAAATTGAACCTTTGCGCCTCCGCCGCCTCCGCCGCCGCGCGCGCCGCCGCTACCTCAGCTCGCAAAGCCGCCTCCGCGCCCCGGTGCGCCTCGGCGGCCCCATCAGCTTCCTCCCGGAGCTGTCGTACAGTATCCGCCTCTGCGGCGATGCGCGCCTCCGCTGCGGCGGCGGACGCCGTCAGGCGCGAGACCTCCGCCTCCGCCACCTTTTACAGCACACAACCGCGGGAGGGAGCCGCACCCCCCGCATGAGCCCAATCGCACTTGCGTCACAACAAGACACATCCACCGCAACACCGCACCTTTGCACCGCCAGGTCAACAAATGCTGCTGATCTTTAATCCTGGGTAACTGCCAACTGCCAACTCCCAACGGTGAATGGGATAAGAGGGAAATGTTGCTTGCGTTCACAACCAACTCACCCAGCAGCCTGACTGAGCATGACGAGGCGAACATAACGTCGGACCAGCATCGCCATCCGGGGAAGGGACTTTTCCCGGCGGCCCCCCATACACACACACACACACGCGCGCTGGGAGGAGAATTGCCCCCCCCCGGGGGGTCGTACCCCGGCAGCTGAGTCGCCCAGAGGGGGCTCTTCCGCTAATGGGGCTGCTGGGGAGAGTGAGGCAGGGTGGAAGGCGCCGCCTCTACGCACGGACTTCACTGCAGATCACACGAGGCCGAGCGGATTTACGGACATACGGACATACCTGGGCACGGCGTTCCGCCTCCGCCGCCTGCTCCCGTGCCGCTGCCTGCGCCGCCGCCGCGGCCGCCTCCGCCTCCTCCGCTGCACGCCGCGCCGCCTCCGCCACACGCTCCCTTTGTTCAGCATGCGTCTGCGTGCGGAAGGTGTATATGTGTTTGTAGGAGGGGAAGGAAGGGGAGAAGGGGCGAGGGAAAGAAGGGGAATCACCTGCAAAGAAACAAGGAATGAGCTGTTGCCGTCCGATGGGAGTCATAAACAAGGCAAGGATTCAAAAGCCCCAAAGGCGCTAGGGGTGGGGGGAAAGGTGGAGGGATCGTAAGTGGGGGGGTTTTGAGGGGGGGGGAAACTTCTTCAACCTCAAACTGACAGCGGTCGGCATGCATTGAAAGCACGGGGGACGGGGGCCCATACCGCGCCTGGGGCCCTGGCCTGACGACGTGACGGAACCTTTACGGGGGCCTTTACTACACAAGCCTCGCGGGCAAGCAGAAAGCACAATGAATTGCATCTTCGGTGATTGAAAAAAGATGGAAAAGGAAAGGAAGAAGAAGGAAAAGAAGATGAAGGAAAAGGAAATTATGGGAGTTGTTTTGGCACACCGGACCACCCAGTCGGCTGTCACGCCACAAAACACAAGTACGTGCACAAGTACTCACTCAAAACACAAATCCCTTGCCGAACGGTTACAAACTCCCCCGCCCCCGCCCCTCCCCCTGCCCGGCCCACGCGCCTGGACCTGCTCCGCCCTGCCCTCTGCGGATTGGGCCGCCTCCGTTGCCTTGTCGGCACGCTCGCGTTCCGCCGCCACAACGCCTGGCGTGTACGGCAACGATACCGTTTGGGCACTGAATTTCCCAGTGGTGTGTGCGTCTTTTGGAGCTGTTTGAAGCTTCATGGAGCCAGTCGAATCAACAGAACGCAACATTCATGGCGCAGCAAATCATTAACGGAATACCACGAGGGCCCGTCAACGACCGACCTCACCGTCTCTCTCGCTGCACGCCCGCTCTGCCGCGGCCGCCCGCTCCTTTGCGGCGTCAAGCTCCGAAACCGCTGACCTCAGCGCGGCCTCCAGATCCGAAACCCGCCGTCCCGCCAGACGCAACTGCACGCGGCGTGCAGGCGGGCAGCGAGGGACAACGACGTGAAGGTGTAATGGTACGGCGGCAACGATGATTGCACGGCACCTGTTTTTTTAATTGGATATGTCCGACATGTGTTGACCCGAGCCTTTCTACCCGGCCCCGGCGGGATGAACATACACCACATGTTCACCTCCCCCCCCCAAAAAAGATAAATAAATAAATTAAAAAATATATATATATATAAAAATATATATATATATATATATATATATATATATATATATATCAAACACGCACATTCGTTCATACACGTTTCGCTCTATGTTACTCGTGCGACATCCCCCAAACACATGCAACTCAGGAAAGTGGAAAACAGCCCTGTGAGGGGTCGTCTGCTCATGTGGGGGCACATCTCCAATCACCACCACCACCACCACACACACAAGTAGGAGGGAGAGAAGTGCTTCAGCGATCGTTCCCGTTGGGGTACGATTACGTCCTCCGGGCCAGCGTCAGGCCCGGATCGATATGTAACAAATACACAACACGTACATACTTACACACATACACACACGCCCACCACACAGACCTCCAATTGGAGCCCCCCCACCGCATCCTCCGCGGCCACACAGCGCTCCCGCCACCGGCCGATCAACAGGTCCGCCATCACCACAAGATCCGCACCCTGACGGCGAGCAGCCGCCGCCACGTCATCGTCGCCGTTGCCGCCGCCGCCGCTCCCACCTCCACGGCAGCAGTCGGCCGCCGCCGCCCGCGACGACATCAAGGAGGCTCCGGAACGCGGTCCCGCCGCCGCCGCTGGCGGCGGTGGCGGCGGCCCCGGCTGTGGTGACTTGTAGTAGTTGCCGTACTGGCTGTAATGGTTGTGGGCTGGGGGATAGAGGTGGTTGGCATCCTGTTGTGGTCGGTGGGGGAATGTGGGAGGAGGGGACCACTGAGACAAACGTGGCGGAGGCGGCTGCCTGTCTTGGTGGCGATGCTGGTGGTGCGCGGGGATACGACAGCCCAGGGGGGTGTGGCCCCCGGGAGCAGCTGACGGCTCCCTCCCGGGGCTGGGATGCCGGGGCCGCACCTCCGGCCGCCGCCGCTGTACGGCAGGCTGGCCTCGTGGCTGTGATAATGTCATCATTTGCGGTGGGTTGAACGGTCGTTGCTCTAGGTGCTGCTGCTGCTGCTGCTGCGCCGCCGCCGCCGCCGCCGCCGCCGCCGCCGCTGCCTCTGCCGCTGCCGCTGCCGCAGTATCGGCATCAGCAGCCACCTGAGCAGTAGCAGTCGCCGCCGCCGCCGCCACTCCGCCTTTCCGTGCTTCCCCTGCGACCGTACGACAGGACGTGGCCGGAGGGCTTAAGACAGCCCTCCCGTACGACGGCGTGGCTGCAGCGGCAGTGCCTCCGCCCCCGCCTCCGCGGTATGGCGCCATGGCCGGAGTAACGACCCACGGGTCACTTCCCGCACCCCCAGGACAGGGCGTCAGTGGTGCAGCCCCTGGCTTGGCTGCTGCAGCCGGCGTAGCGAGCAGCACATCGCCGCTGCCGTACTTTCCCGGAGGCGGCGGGGGTGATGATGAGCAATGATGCTGATACCACTGCTCGCGCTGCGGCTGCTGCTGTTGATTCTGGAGGTGTTGTTGCCCTGCGCCGTCCGCAGCGCTGCCACTGCCTTCCGCTAGGGCGAAAGAGCCGAAGAGGCTCCTCCGTGCGCCAGCTGCTGAGCTGGCACTAGGCGTCTGCTGCTGTTGCTTTTGCTGCTGTTGCTGTTGTTGGGATTGCAGATGGTTATAACCCGGGCACTGGTGCTGTTCGAGTGGTGGACGCGGCTGGTGTTGCTGTTGGAGCTGCTGCGGTGCCGCTTTCCACTCCTCAGGATGCCGCGGGTAGTGATGATGTTGCTGGGGAGGAGGAGGAGAGGGAGGAGGAGGAGAGGGAGGAGGGGGTGTTTGGGGGCAGCCGCGTGAGCCACGTGATAACTGCGCCGTGCAGTTGTTGTGGGATGTGGAGCTGTTACTGTAGCCGCAGCTGTTGCTGCTTCGTTCTTTAATTCGAAAATCGTTTGGATTTGAAATAACGGAAGTTACCGAAGGTAAAGCAAAACGAGGAGGGGATGAGTTATGCTGCTGATGCTGATTTTCATGATCGCCGTGATGGTGGAAATAATAAGGATGGCGATGGTGGCGATAACGGTCCTGGTTGCGAGCCTGGATCTGCGGCTCGTGGAACGCAAAATTGGTGGAAGCTGCGCTGAGCAAAGCTGGGCTGCTGACTGCGTGGCCGACTGCTGCGCCAAGGAAGCTGTTGTTGCTGCTCCTGTTAGACATAGGGGAAGAAGGATAAATGCTGCTTTCATCGTCATCTTCTCCTTGTTCAAAATTGCGCAGGTTTGCTAACGGTTGGCCGCGACTGCCCGGGCGCGGAGCTGCTGCACTGCCGCCAACATCGTGACTTAATCTTTGACCTTCTAATTCACCAGCACCGTCTTCAAAATCATCGTAAGCGTAGTCACTTATGGAAGCATCGTCGCTGACTGCAAAATCTTGCCGGTCGCTGTCACCTCCATCATAGCTGTCTTCGCGGCTCAGAACCTGGGGAACCATCTCAACATGGTGCAAAACGCCACCCAAGAGCGACACAAAATCTCTTCCTTCTATCCGGATTGCGAGAAGCAGGAAATCTGTTCGTATGTTTGGGACACAGGAGAAAGAAGCCTAGAAAACCCTTTCTGCTATACCTCAAATCTTCGGCCGGCCAGAAACGAAACCGCTAAATTCAACTTCGTCGTGTACATGCCGTTAACAAAACAACGAAACACAACGAATATATACTGCTGCACGATGCAGCTGCAACGAAAAAATTATACCGAGGAAGGCGAGTCACGCCACCAATTCTACGGCCCCATGGGCCAGGCAAAGAAGGTTAATGACTCCTCAAAAATGCTCTTCTCCGTACACTCGTTTCCCATAGCCACAGCATAACTGGCGCGCCCCAAAGCCTGGAAAAGAACTTCGCTCTTTTCCCCCTTCCCCACTTTTTTCCGCCTGCTTTAAAGCGGTGTTTTCAATGACTTAACGTTGGCGCTCATCAACCCTAAGCAGCCGCGACCACCAAAGCCGCCTCCGCCTTCTGGTCCAAGGCCGCGTCGCCAGATTGCGCCGCCGTCTCTGTAACCGGCATCAAGGCCGTCGATGCCGCCAATTTACCAACCGTCGCCATTGATGTCGAAGCCGTCGATACCATCTCTGTCGCAGTTGCAGTACAGCAAGCCAGCAGCAGCGCTGCCCAAAACTTCTGCCGCTGCACCTCCCAGGCAGCCAGATCCGCGCCAAGCCTCGCCAAGCGCTGCGCCTGCTGTTCGTCGTACAATTGTACGGACGCCATGAGCGCCTCATGCGGCATCTCAGGGTGGGTCCCACACAACACCGCCACGCCTGTGCCGACTCGACACCTGCCGTACACATGTCCGTACAGTGACACCGCATGGGAAGTGTTTGCCCATTGACTCAGCAAGCGCACGTACATACATGCATACTGGCAGGTGGCTGGCAGAGGTTAAGATCTAGCTTCTGTTCCCGGACGACCCGGGTTCAAATTCACCTGCCGACCTCACGGGTGTTTTAGAGGTGTGGAACCGGGAGATGGCTCCCCATCATATGGACGGTATAGGACGCAATAATCTCAACTTGCGAGCTGATCAGGAACTAAGTTGAGGCGCCGTTGATCCGCTAGATTTGGTTGGATGCTGGTGGTGAGTTGCAGAACCCAACGAAATCGGATGGGGTAAATGGATTAGGGTGCCCTTCTCGCAGCGGGACAGCAGGGACTGCCTCGGGAAAGGGGGCCGCTGGTAAAGCTTAACCACCCTGTAACAACATCATGTATGCATACAAACAGTACATACATGTATGAAAAATGGGCATAACTTAGCCGCCCCATACTGCGACTAGAGCCCTGACCACTACCACTACCACGGTCCGAAATCTATATGGCTGTTTTAGTTACAACATCTAAATGTCATATTAAGTTCGATACAACAAATGTCGCAAACTAGAGCAGCAAGGACCGCTGACTGACCGAAAATTCAAAATGGTCGGAAAGACAGCAACGGCCACAAGGCCGCAAACTACCCAGGATGAAGGTAAACGAGAAGAATTTACTCCTCTCGAACTCAACATCCTCGCATCACCGAGGGAGAGGCTCTTCATGCTCAGTCCGGAGACATGGGAATTGGTGGTGCATTGGCCACCAGGCTCCGACATTTCAAATGTCTACAGTCAGACCTATGGGCGACTAGCAGAGCACATGATTTCTAAGTTGAAAAATTACGGATAAAATTAGCAGATCCGGAGGCCTTGGAAGGGCCCGCAGTGGCAAAGCAGTGCATCTTCCCAATGAAAGATAAGCATGTTGGGATGGAGATGTCAGTCGTGATGCCACCGGGCACCTTGGCACGGCACACCAACAGCGAGCTTCTCAGGGAGGGCCGCCTACAGCTTTGCCACTGCGCCGCAGTGTTCGGGCCGAAACGGAAACCTGCCGAAACGGAAACCTGCCGAAACTAGTTTCGGTGTTTCCGGCGAAGAGGTCCTGGTTCTGCGGAAAGGCCGAAACTAGTTTCGGCCCCTTTCGGCTAGCGCCGTACGGCGGAACCTACTTTGAATAGTTTCAAAGTGTAGGCGCGTTGTGCAAGGCTGCGAAACTCTGCGAATGTTGAGTTTATCTTATCAATGTCTCAGACAACTTCCGTTGTCAGTGCAGACACAGATCCGGTCAAAAACAAGGGCGGAAGGACCGCTGATCAGACCGTTTGGGCTCACTTTGAGAAGAAAAAATATAATGCAAAGTGTAAGAACTGGACTATCATCTGCAAGTACTGCCGGACCGAGTCCAAGCAAGGGCGCCTTCAGGAGATGCGCGTCCATATCGCGCAAAAGTGCGCGGGACCCGTCCCGCCTGAGGTCGCAGATTAGTAACATTATGGTGACCCGGAGTGCCTTCGGACACACATGAGCAGGTCCCATGAGGCGCAAACGCACATAGGGCCCACGAACAACGTTTGCATACCATGGACGTCATAAATACAGCATTTTCAGGGTTTCGGCAGGTTCCGGCAGTTTCGCGAGGTTTCGCAGAAGGGTCCAAAAATTGGAAACTATTTCGGCATTGGCAGTAAGGTTTCGGCCCGTACACTGCACTGCGGGCCCTTCCAAGGCCAGATCCACCGATTCTATCCATAATTTCAACTTAGAAATCATGTGCGCTGCTAGTCACCCATATAGACATCTGAAATGTCAGAGCCTGGTGGCCAATGCGTGACCAATTCCCATGTCTCCGGACCGAGCATGAAGAGCCTCTCCCTCGGTGATGCGAGGGTGTTGAGTTCAAGAGGAGTAAATTCTTCTCGTTTACCTTTATTCTGGGCCGTTTGCGGCCTTGTGGCCGTTGCTGTCTTTCCGACCATTTTGAATTTTCGGTCAGTCAGCGGTCCTTGCTGCTCTAGTTTGCGACATTTGTTGTGTCGAACTTAATATGACATTTAGACGTTGTCATTAAAACAGCCATAAAGATTTCGGACCGTGGTAGTGGTAGTGGTCAGGGCTCTAGTCGCAGTATGGGGCGGCTAAGTTATGCCCATTTTTCATACATGTATGTATTGTTTGTATGCAACGGAGAGAATTGAAGGGAGCAGCTGAAGTCAAGTCATTTCCGTTTCTTCCAGAACTTAATAAGTACTGTCAGAGCCCTCGCAACTCCGTAAATTCATACCGGCATCCGCCGTACTTCCGTACACAACCCACCTAACGGCCGCTATGGCATCGCCAAGCTCGGGGTACACCGCCAGAATCTCCAGGTTGTCTTGTACGATGGTGCGCGTGTCAGTGCAGCGCGAGGAGGCTGATGCCGTACGTCTATCACCCGTACTACAGGCCGTACTGACAGCAGTCGAGGTGGTGGCGGATGGGACGTCCGCGTCCGAGCCTATACCCGTCGTCAACACTGGTGTCCCCAATACGAACACGGGTCCACCGTTGGAGTAGTCCCTGCAGTAGACCCAGTTGTCGTACTCGCCGCCGGCACCGTCGGGATGCTCCCACGGCCGTGGGACCGCATCCAACCCCTGCTTCCGGAGCCTTTCAGTGGTTTCGGAGCCGCCACCCTCCCTGCCCGTCAACGGCCCCTCAGGACATCCGCTGTCCGGGACGTCGCGGCATGGCTCGCTGCCGCCGCCAATGCCCCTGACGGCGCCACTGTTGCCACCGCTGCCACTGACACCGTCTTCCCGCCCGCCGCCACCGATGCCGTCAGCGGACTTTCCTTGGAACACCAAATGATGTCTACTCAGCCGCGGCGGTGTAACGTCTGTACCCCCACCGCCGCCACCACCGCCGTCACCGCCGTCGTGGCCCGGTGTCCCTGCTGGCCACACGAGTTCATTTCGTTGCCCCGCTGACGACCTGCCGTACTGCTCCGAAATGGTGCTGGTTGTAAGGCTGGGTGGTGCAGCGGCTGGTGGTGACAGTGGTGGCTGCCGAAAGCGTATCGGTGCAGCCTGGGCCCCCCTCTCCGACAAATAGTCGAAACCTGGGTAAATAAACATGTAGCGGCAGCAGCAGCAGAAGAAGAAGAAGGAGAAGCAACAGCAGCAGCAGCATAAACAGAAACAGCAGGCCGAGGGCTAAAGCAACCCGGACGACAAAAGCATAAAGATGATAACTCTTAGAGGAACAATAATCGGGGACAAATAGCATGTACGGCAGAGGTGTCGTATTTTGTCTCCACCCACGCGGCCACCTCCACCTGCGGAAAGGCCCTATGTGCCCCTAGGGAGCTCCAACGTCCCCGCACATATTCACACACGTACTGAGGTAGAGACACAGGGTCTACATATAATTACATACATGTACATGTACATACTCATACACACCCACCCACCCCCCCACCCACCCACCGGGGTAAGCAGGGCCCCGGGCAGCGCCCGGAAAGAAACATAGCTCGCGATCACCAACCACCTGGCGAGATGGGGAACACCAGGGGGTGTCGGAAGGGCTATGAGCATGGGAAAATATGGCGGGGGCCAGGGAAGGGAGTCTGTGTGTACGCATATGTATATGTATATGTATGTGTGTACATGTGTGTATGTTTAGTATGTATAGTATGTATGTGTGGAACCGAGCTGAGCTGCGGATCCGTATGAAAATGTGTGTGCAACTAGAGTCCTAAAGTCCTCCGGGTCCGAGAGCCGATGTCTTTTTCCCGTTCGTACTTGCCACTCCTCGGGTTTGCAGAGCCCCTCTTTCCCCCGTCACTCTTGGCCAGGCTTGGCTTACCCCCCAACCCCACCCCACATCGTGTCCCGCAACTCCATCCCGCATCTCCCCCCACTCGTTCCACGGCTGCTCCTTCCTTATACCCATGGGGCCCCCCCCTTACGTCTCCCGTACATCCCTCTCGACGCACCTAACCCGGGAAAACACGCACTCTGGAGACGATGCCCATCTCCCGCCCAAAACACACAACCCAACCCAACCCAGCACGCACACGCACTCTCTTACGCCCCGGCCCCTCCCCTCCCCGCCTCACCTCCAGTGGGCCCCCCACCTCGAACTCCACACGGCGACATGCGTAGTAGGCGCCCGCACAAATGCCCAAGTACGAGCCCCCACCCGCCACGTAGTCTGCGAATGAGAAAGGGGGAGAGAGCGACAAGGGAAGAGGGGAGAGTGGTGGGTTCAAAACACAAAACACGTCATGACACGGGGGGCAATTGTTCTTCTTCTGCGGGATGCAGTTACAGCTCCAATAACCTTTCTCCTGCGAACCCAGGGGGGAGGTCCCCCGAGCCACGCCGGCTGCTAATATGAGACTAAAGCGCCACCGAGGCGCCACTCAGGTTCCGTCTTCCCCTCCCCTCCCCTCCCCCTCCCCCCCCCCCATGTTGTCACCAGCCTACAGGTACAGCTTTTTTCTTTCGGCAACACGGCAGGCGTCTGTATGCCTGTGCACGACATACGTACCTCGCAGCAATCGGTTGCCATGACCGTTAAGGTGTTTGCAGTACGGCAGGTCGGCTCCACCCGGCATAACGAACAGCAAACAGCGGTCCCGCCAACCGCCCTCCAGGAGCTCAACGGTTCCAAGTAGCCGGGCCTTATACGAGGGGATATATGCGCGCCAGGATGGTTTCGGATCGGCAATACATTGTGTAAATGTTACAGAGGGTGCAGTTGTACGGTACGGCAGCGACGGCGTAGACGTACCTGGACCCCGGGAGCAAGGCAGCGTTGCACCGCGTGTAATGTGTTGCGGACAGACTGATAGCCCGCGCCCTCGCCACAATATACCAGGATCTCCTGGGGGAGGGTGTCGCCCTGGCCTGAAGGAACTGGTGATGTTTTGATGGTGTTTGTGTGCGATGCTGCCATGGCAGGTCGTTGGCGTGCACGCCGGTCGCTCCAAGCACGACAGCAAGGAATACATAACGATGCTAAATAGCGATTGGCTGGAAGCAGCTGGCGAGGTGAGGGGTTGATGGGAGAGAGTCTTTGGTTTGGGGCCTTCAACGGCAACGCCATATTGCCATCATCACCAACGGCCGCTTTAAAGCCGAGGTATAATGTCCATCAACAACCGCACTTCAAATGTAGCGTAAAGCATGATAGCAAACAGCGGAATAACGATATTATGTGGGAGTCCGTTCCCCGGCCAAGCGCTCGCCGATGCCTCCTGCGGCTACTTCAACATGGATTCCGTGTAGCTTTGCTTGACACTTAAGAACGTGAGCAGGAATTGTCACGGAATGAATGCCCTTGACTGTTGTTAGTAAATGGGTTGCACTCAGTCCGGCAGTTGTTTTGCAACTTCTAGGTTGTACCTTATGTGTACCTTATGGCAAAACTACGACAAAACAACAGCAACAACAACACCTAAACCATGACGTATTGAAATAGTTTAGATGGCTCTTCTTTACTTTTCATGGCTCCAACCGTTACAACTGAAAAAGGCCCCTTTTACCGATGAGCACGTGCCGAGACGCCGGGGCCCGTTGGTCCGTCAAGAAACGCTGGCTAGGCGCCGCCTGGCACAAACCTCAAAATACTACAATTCTTCCTGCCATGCTCATGCCATGGCCTGCCCCAGCCGCCAAACTGCTTCCTTATGCTTCAGCTCCTCCATCTCCCTCCTCTTCTCCCCCCGGTCAAAACCACACACGGCCTCGTCCTGCGCCGTCGTCCGCACCCTCCTAACTCCCCCCTCGGCCCCCTTACAACACGACTTGGGGCAGGTGGCATGTTGCCACGTGGGGGGCGCCACGTCACCTCGCATAGCCGCCTCTGCGTTGGGTTTCATGCATGTGGGCAATAGACAGACAAACAAACAGACAAACCAACCAAATGACAGACAGACGTCATCACGTTATCAACATTATCATCATCATCCGAGCTCATCCGGGCGTCAATCCGCGCCAGGTGATCAAGCCAGAGCTCCTCATCCAACCCCCCCGCCCGGTCGCCGGCAGTTGAGGCTGCCGCACTGCTAGCGGCGGAACCCTAGCCGCTCAATCCGATTCTGGCTGACTGGCTAGCTGACAGCAGCGGCAGCAGCAGCGGCAGCGGCGGCGCGGCAAAAACACAGGCAACAGCAGACCGGGGGAGGGGAAGCGAGGGAGCCCCCTCGGGGGGGGGGTGAACGGGGAAAATCATCTGGAGCCCGCGGACATGGGTGCCTGGGGCCCAGGGTATCAAGCTCCTCAACTCCCCACCATCACCACCACCACCGCCGCCGCCACAACCTCTACCACCACCATTATCACTCGGACCGTCTGCATGTTCGTCCGTCACACAAGTTTCGTGACACGTTCGTCTGTCTGTCTTCCTGTCTGTCGCCCGCACGCCACCTCTTGCTAGGTTCACCTGTTCCGAGGTCCACTCCTCTGCCGCAAACTTAACACACGCCCATCCTTCCATCCATCCATCCATCCATCCATCCATCCATCCATCCATCCATCCGTATGTATGTACTTATGTATGTATGTATCATGAATAAGCTTTATGAATCCGATGACATTAATGCGCCCACTTGTAGGCGGTGTTAGCCACATGGTCCATGATGCCCTGGTCCCGCCACCGGTTGCCGGCAGCCCAGCCCTGAAGACCGCCCCGGATCTCGTCCATGATCTGTGTACGGCAGGGCAAAGTACGACACATCAACATACATAGAGACGGAGTGACGACGCACATCAACACACATAGTGAGACACACACAGACACACACACACGGACAGACCGATACACCGACGGCCACAAGACGCGGCCACTAACCCGAAGCCCGTTTCCCCCCCCCTTTCCCCCCCTCCCGCCTGCCCACCTTTGCCGCCACGGGATCCTCCTTCATCCTGGCCCACCACGCCGCCAGCTTGGGTCTGCCAGCGAACACATCCCCCCAGCCGAAGTAGGTGGGCAAGATGAACTCGAAAAACACGAACGTGGGGAAGAGGGCCGCGTCGGCGGCCGTCACCTGGTCACCCGCCACGTAAGGCCCCTGAGAGGGGGTCAGGGGTGTGGAGGGGGGTTAGGGGGGTTAGGGGGGTTAGGGGGGCGCAGCGCGGGGGGGGGGCAGGACCTTGCAGCGACATCTTTGCAACGGTGAGGCGCTGCGGGAAAAGGAGTGGGGCTGAGATTGATGAGAGATTAATTTCCGCCGCCCGAGTTGTACAACCTAGATAACGTTTCGCAACCTAGCTGGCTACGTCGCACCGATGACCACTTCCCGAGTCACTTATTAGTCCCGGTTGGTAACTTATCGCTATTTCCTGCAGCATTCTGCCCATCCCGAACAATATTCAAGTTACATTGTGAATCTGTCTATTCCTAGGATATGTTGATATCTCTGTTATCGACTTCACTTGCCTGTGGTTCATCTTTCCCCCCCCCCTTTTGTATGGTTAGCCGCTCCCCCCCCTCCTCGTCAGTGAAACCCACACAGCTTGGATACATGCACGTATGTGTGCTTGCTCCCACCCGGCCCGCCTGCCGCCCTCCCACCGCACACATACACACACATACATACACAGACACACACGTACATCCGGACATACGTGCACACGTGGCGCTATGGTAGCATGACCTTTTGCTTTATCACTCTTGTTCAGGATAGCAATTTAGTTTCTTAGAGTCTACCTAGTCGGTGGTACCTCAAAAACACCCTCGTGAGCTGTTATCAGTCCTAGTGGCCCACCACCACCACCACA